TATGTGTAACTATATATGGCATATAATGCATAAATTAATCTATATGCACAGCATATTATGGTTTAATGTATGTGGAAGTCTGGTATATACAAGGTTTACTACCAGGGAGTGCTGATATAGTGTTTAATAGAAAAGATGTGTGATGTTACATACATTAATTTTTAGAACCTAAATTTCAACCATGAACTTAATAATTTTTCATTGCTGAACCACACTTAGGATATGATTTTTTTAAAAGAAACTTTGCTTAAACAAATAATTTTCTTAGCTGTATGGAAGTCATTACCATTGTCAGTAAGAACTGTGCACGAATTTACTTATATAAGGCCCTGTGGGTCTCACAAATAGCCTTCAGGTATTTGAATCTGGAAATCTAATATTTTATTCTTGTCTGAATTTACTATTGTGTAATATACATATACTTCCATACATCAAACACAGCGGTGTTTCTTTCCTGTAATCCACAATTATTTGAATATGGATAAATAATATTGTAATCTTGCTTCATTTATTTGTTTATTCTGACAGGATTTGTTTTGATATTTCTGTAGGATTTTCAGGCAACACCCCTGCTGGAATCCACACAAGATCTACGCCAGCAGCTGAAGGGTGGTATCTTGAACAGTGCTGAGAGTCATGAGAAGTACCTGTATAGGCCATTCTCCAATAAGGAGGCTGGTGCCACAACCTTAGTAACTAGCAAACTGACATTTGTAGCTCACAACAAGCAAGCTGCACCTGCAAGTGAGTACAAAGATATGTCATTTATTACAGTTCAGTAACACTGAATTCACATTTTAGAGGTTGAGTTGTGTCTTCCAAAATTTGAGCCTACTTGACAATAATGTAGCAAGTTCTATGATGTTTTGACTACAGTTTTGAAAACAGTATTCCATATTTTAATTTGTAAGGCCTTTATTGAATGAAACAAACACTGGAGGCCTTAATATAATTTTTATGCCTGTTTATAGCATCTGGAAGCACTCCTCGCTCCCTTGTATTTGAACCTCCGCACGTTGGCAATACGGGATCCAGTAGTGTTGCAGCTATTATTGAGGCTTTGCACAAAGCACATCATGCCATGCCGGAGTATGTTGGAGAAACAGCAGCAAGAGAGTTTGCCAATGTTGTCACCATCCTCAGACAGAGCAACAAGGATGATCTCTTCTCAGTCTACAGCCAGGTGAAAGCGGGTGCTGGTTTTAAGGCGGGAACGTAAGTCATGGTTTTATTTGGTGCAATTAAAACAAATAATTCGTCTGATACAGAAGAGAATGAAACCTAGAACTTTAAAACAAAAGTCTAAATGCCATAAATGTTTTGTGAATTCTTTGCTTCAAGTTCTGTGATATTGAGTTCATACATGTTGTAACCATTGACAATATAAAATCATGGATTTTAACATTACTGTTAAATATTGCTTTATTTTTAATCCAAGTAGGTTAAGTCTAGGGAAATTTTAATAAATATTTCATTACAATGTCCTAAGAATGCAGACTAATTAATGATCAGAGGTTTCAGGAAATTAACAGCTACTTTGTCCAGCTCATTTCAGTCTTTTCCCAAATGGAATTTGATATGCTGTGTAAACCTGGCCATAAAAGAAAAAAAAAATTGGTGAATATTATTTACCTATGTAAGTGTATTAAAATATAATCTGCCTGAAGGTACATTTTTCACAATGAAGTTATGCAGGAAGGAGACCTTATATTGCATATTGACAGATATCAAATTCCACAGCAATTGCATTCTTTGATACTGCCTTGGAATATTTTGTACTATTTGAAGCTATTGAGAAGTGTAAGGTTAGCGAGATGAAACCTCAAATTGATTGTTCTATATTAGCTTAAAAAAAATTCACTTCATAAAGTAAAAATCTCAGAAGATGATTGTTGGGAAGGGGATCAGGCAAGACAAGACCTCTTAATATGCTTTCACTAATGTGCCTGGCTGTAGATATCTGCAAAGTCAGAATTGTATTCTGAGCTATTGTTATATGTAATTTAAAGGTGGATTGGAAGATTCTGTTGTTGAGTGAGTTTCTACATTGCAGAAAAATGTTCTTGGATGCTCTTTTCCGAGCTGGCACAGGTGATGCAGTTGAAGTTGCTGTTGAACTGTTGAAGACCAAAAAGATCACTGGCCCATATGCTGACTTATATTATCTTCAATTTGCATACACCAAACATGTAACCTTACCAGCTCTCACAGTAGCTGTGGTGAGTGAAAGCTGAATTACTTCTATAATTTTTTATAACAGTTTGTGATATCACACATTTTATATTTATTATTTGATCAGTGTATCTCAAAATGTGAAATTAATAAATCAAAAGTAATTGTTTTTACTTTAAATGACAACCAATGTGCTGTCATAATCCTTCATCTAAGTGCATCATTGCTGCATATTATATGTGCAGATTTTTGGACATTTCAGCAAAAGCAATGCCTTCTTTAAGGACACTTTCTTTTTATGAGCGATTAATAATATGAACCAATACTTTCATCATGATTGTTATCCTACGCAGATCAGCTAGGTTAAAAATTCATCATATTGTTGATATCTGATGTTAACAGTCTTTGCTGGACCAGCCAGAATTTTCTAAGCTGGCATACCTGGGCGTTGGAGCTCTAGGTGGCCGATATTGTGCTCATCACAGATGTGAAGATGTTCCTGAATTTGATGCTTTCCTAGAGAAATTGTCGAAACCTGTCAGTGGTGGCTGCAAGTCTTCTAACTGGGATGAAGAACAGAAGGTAGGCCATCTATACAATTCAATAGAACTAACCACTGCCACCCGGTAAAAACCCATTTGCAGTTAATAATAAATAATAATAATAACACACTGAAACACAAGATATAAAATATCTTACTTTTTCTTTGGAAAATCAGAGAAAAATCTTCTCCCAGACAAGCAATAAAAGGAAACAAACAGATATTCAATTTGTAGCACTATGTAGATTGTTTATATATACATGTCGGAGAGCTTTGTTTCAAGATGGGTTGGTCACTTTGTGTCTTCTGTACATATCAAATAAGCATTAACTCACTGTAATTTTAAAACTAGTCATGCACTAATTTAGTATCATGTGTCATTTATATTCATGAGGCATATCAGAGTATTGTTTTATTTTCCTGAAGCTACATTTCTATTCCTCCAGGTATGTTCTAAGGTTTAGCATATTAGATATTTTTTTCATAATTTCAGTAGCTAGCAATTATTAGAAACGTATAAAACTTTAACTGTACCCACCATAAAATTTACTGTTCTTCTTCATTACAATTTAAAAATTCCTTTCTTAGTGAATTTTACATATGATCTTCTTCACTGTAAGATGGAAGACAAACACAATGTAAGATTTGAGGTTTTCACAGTGGTGAGTATGAAGATTTCTGTCTTCTGGGTTGTTGCGCTGTGTTGTCTGGTCGATGTTAACCAACGTTTCAGAGGTCATACT